GATATAATTTGGGCTAGTTTACTCATTATGCCATATTTAGTACCTTTCTAGCCATCATTTCATACATTTCAGAATTATTTTCCAAAGTCATTAATTAAAAAACTACTCTCTCTCTCTCTCTCTCTCTCTCTCTCTCTCTCTCTCTCTCTCTCACACACACACACACACACACACACAGAGAGAGAGAGAGAGAGAGAGAGAGAGAGAGAGAGAGAGAGAGTGTCTGTCCTGTCTGTCTGTCTGTGGAAGCAAGCTACTTGGGGCCTCTCACACGCTGGATTATAATCAGTTGTGAGCCTTTTAATGTGGGTGCTGGAAACTAAACTCTGGTTTCCTGGAAGAGCAGTGTACACTCATAGCTTCTGATCCATATATCCAGTACCAAATCCAGAAATTTGATCATATAGTATTCCTGCTTTAAAAAGCTCTATACTTTTCTATTGCCTTCAAGAGAAGGCTGAATTTCTTAGCACAGTCTACTAGAGTCTATGATTTGTTCTTGATTGAGCCCCTAGCTACGTGGCCAACCACATATCATCTGCTACCCATGTAGGTGCTAGACTTTATCTGCTGCAAGTAATGGTGGCTGCCAAGTGCTCTGGTTTCTAAGAGTTCCCTGCTTTTATTTTAATACTTTCATTGCAGCTAACATTTTGAGTTCTTACTGTATCTGCTGTATATTAAGGCTTTCCAGCTCTCAAGCCATTACTTTAAATGCAGTAGGTGGCGGTATTTTCCATTTACAGATGAGGAAACTGAGTCACAGAGAAGTCCAGCAAGTTTGGAAATATACTGCTCACAGCAAATGTCCTAAGCAGAGATCTTGACTTTCTGAGCCAGTGTCTGCAGGGTGGCAGAAAGAATGAATGAGGAGGGAAGAGGCAGAGTCAAAATGAGAGGTTTGTGCCAACTGACTCCACTCATGGGCAACTTGAAGTTTGACCCTGGAGATTTTTTTTTAACACAGCTATTAGTTTTATTTTGGAGGATTATAATATAATCACATTAACCCTTCCCTTTCTTCCCTCAAACCCTTCTATGCACTCGTCCTTGTCCAAGCATTCTTCTCAGCAGAAGAAAGAATGTGTCTCAGAAAAATATATCTCATTTTTCACTGTTACCACTGAAGTTATCTGACCGAAGAATTAAGTGCCTGCACTTTCTGGTGAAGTGTGTGTGTGCAGAGAATAGATTGCTGGGCTGTCTATGTGTTCTCCATAGCAGCATTGGAAATCCTGATTTGGAAAAGCGGGATAGAGAGTTAAAATGTCCTAGAATGCACTGGGTGAAAATAGTTATCTGAGAAGTTCTCACAAAATTCTTTCACAGCTAGAGTAGGTGTTGGAGGGATGGCCCAGAGATGTGAAGGGCAGCTTAATAGGCTTATTATTGTTTGACTTACAGATTCTTGACTAACGTCCAAAGTACTATTTCTGTGGCTTTTGGGTTCATGGAATAGAAAATGTGCAAATGTGTATACATCCCCATAGCTAGACAGTTCTTCTTGCCAAGAGACACATTCATGTTGACCTGAGACCTCAGCACCTCCTATAGATACATCTCCTGATGTCTACCCACCTTTCAGGTTACTTGTGATGACAAAAAGATGTGTGGTAAAGGTTGATGGCAGCTACACATGGTGGGACTACTGCCATCATGAGAAGGCCTCTGGAGACAGGAGCAGACTGAGCTGTTGAGTGGGCACTGCTGGGTGATTGAATAATGTGACCGGTGTGTCAGTTGGAGGATGGATGGTCAACAGGAACCTTATGTTCTTATGAAGAAAAACAAAATGATGAATCACTCAGAGGTCTGACTCTATAGGACTTCTGAGGTCCCCCAACCGCTTAAAAAGGGAGGGGTGCATTATTTTCAGAGTCTATTTGTTTCTCTGTTGGAGATCATGAGAGCAAAATGTAAGGGCTGTTTGTCAACTCTTGGGCAGAGAAATCACTAATTCTTTTCTTTCTGGAGTCACAGAACTCGGTCTCCTTTTATCTAAAGAAAATTGCTTCACAAAGCGCTCTCATTAGAAAGAGGAAAGGAATTAAACAGCACAGAATTCATAACCAACTCATCTGCTTCTGTTCTTGAACTGATTTTTAAGCTGGTGGTTGCTTGTTAGCTATCTGCTCACAAAGTTAGAGCTGGATTCCAATATAACCATAAGGAAACCATTAGATTACATTTTATTTGCAACAAAAATATACCCACACAGACACAGACCTTCTCACACACAATACAAACACACATTCACACACAAATGCATGCACTTGCATAATGAATATATAAGCTCACACATAACATCCACACACAAATCATACACACGAAAAACATATGCTCACACATAATCACATACAAATACAAACTCACATGTAACTTTATTCATATAGACCATCTTTACCTTGAAGGTTGAACTCAATCCAGCCTGCATGTATTGAAAACATATTAGATACCAGATATTGTGATGGGTACTGGGGAAAAAGAAAGTCATGTTTCATTCTTTCATGAAGCAATGACCTCTCCTCTAAGAGAAAAAGACCTGGGGAAAAAAATAGAGCATTTCCTTGTTTATCATTCAATACCTAAGGATGCAGTGTAAGACGATTGTGAATCAGCAGCACCACAGAAAGAGATGTAAGTGCCTGCATCCCCCCCCCCGCCCCTCCTCTCCCTTGTACATACAGAGGTGGGGACAGTACAGGGTCAATCCACAAAGAAAGGCCAAGACAGAACCCAACCCTATGGCACCATGGTCTTAGACTTCAGAACTAAGAAAAAATAAATTTAGTTAGTTTAGCCCATCCAAACTGTGCCATTTCTGCATCTCTAGAAGCCAGGTGCTTGGACAGAGTTCCTGCCCTTAAGACATTCCCAGAGGAAGAAGGAAGGTGTATCAGTGGGGCATTCGGGGAGGGAGTCTGGCACATCTGGGCATAGTTCTTCAAGGGAGATTCAAAGATGGCAGCAGCTGATACGCAGACACGCCTGCTCAGTCTGGTAGAGGGCAGATGGCAGAAGAGACCTAGCTTGACCTAGTATCAAAGAATAAGTCTGGAGAAGATGAGCTTAACTGGCAGTGGGTAGAGATGGTGGCAGGCCACTTCACACAGGCTTCTGAGAATATGTCCAGAGTGAGCACTTGGGGTTGCTATTCTGCAGGAGTCTAAACAAAGAAAACGATTGACTGGAGTGGTGGGGAGGGGGCAAGCATTGGGGTATGGACTCTCCACAGTGCAGAAAAATCCCCGGGGCCCTTCTGTTCGGGTCCCCCCTTACTACTGCTTTCCAGAGCTGGGTGAAATGTGTGAAAAAGATGGTTTGATGGGAAAAATGATTATTTTTACAAGCCCAGGAGGACCTGTCCCTTAGGCATGCTTTGTAATTGCACTTTCTGCAGCCCGCTAGGAAGAAAGTGCCTACATTATTAGGCGTTCGTGGTTAGAAGGCCATCAAGAGTCACATCCACACAACCCAAGCAGAAGATTCTAAACAAAAAGTGTTGAAAGATGTGCATAACCAAGTCACTCACTTAGCAATGCTTTTCTCTGCTGTGGGTTATAGAAATGTTTGCAATTGATGAATGACCTGCTAGAGAATGCAGCTTGTTGGGGGTGCAGACATCCAGTAGGTGTTAGCAATTACACTCCTCTGACAAGGCTCAGAGGCACACCTCTGGCATTCTTTGCCGAAGACTGAAAGTGTTGATGGGAAGGTGATCAATTATGGTGAAGACTAGGATTTGTTGGCAAGAAGTCACGAACTCAGCATGGCTGTCACTCTCCACTCAGGCGCTAAAGGGAGTTGAGAGGAGGCTGAGATTTGAAACTGTGGCTGTAGGCAGGCCTGGGAGTGGGAAGGGCAAGGGGAAATCATGTAGGCTGCCAGACACTTGGTATAGTTTATGCAATTAGTTCCTTGTCCGCACCCCCAACCCCCAGTGTAATAGAGCCAACCCAAGCTAAGTATGCGAACCAGTCTTACTGCCCTGTAAGTTTCACAAGAGTGACTTTCTGGAACTGAATCAGACATTTCTAAGATTTCCTTTGGTTATTTCTTTTTTTTTTTTTTTTTTTTTTTTACCCCTTTTCTTTTTCTTGTGGACTATATTCCCTTAGTTGCTACTTGGCTGTGCTTCATCCACCACACAGCACACTGGATGTACATATACCCCTGTTTAAATGTGAAACCCCTGAACTTTGAAGAGTCATAGCACATATATCCCCAATTGGGGAGGTCTATTGCTTATTTTGCTTTCTTACTCCAGAATGCCCAATAGGCTCTAGGTTGAACTTTCCTCTCTGGTCTTCACCATGGATTTTTCTGTAGAGCCTTCCCACCCACAGGTCTCTCTGGTTATCAGTGGGAACTCTTTAGGGACAATTAAAGCCGAGCTTGCTCAAGGGGTCTGTGGGAAAGGCAAGAGGCATGCTTGCCCTCTGACTGCAGAGGATAGTAAATTGCCACAGATTGTGGTAATTCCATCTGTAACATTTGGCATGCTAAAGTAGAAGGTGGCTGGAGAACATGGAATTTTGGAAATAGAATATCCCTTAAATATAAAAATGTAGGACATTGTTAAATAAAGAGAGAAACGGGAAAAGTGTTTCAAGGCGGAGTTGTCATTTATCAGAGAAATATTTAGACAGCCTCTCCATCTCTCACACCTTTCTCTTACTGCTTAGTTTTAATGCTTTGATGTAAAAAAATGTTCTTGTTCTTTAAAGCCATAAATTAAGCAGCTTCTTGTAGCTGCTTCCAAATCTGAGGGGGTAAAACCTGGTTCATATCCCCCCACACATGTCAGAAAACCCGAAGAAAAATAGACAAGGCACAGCCTGTCAAACAAAGACTCAGGTTTAGAAAGTTTTGTTTTCCTTATGTTTGTAGCTTCTTCAGTTACAAATGTGATTAGGAATTGAAAATTAAATTAAGATTAACATGAAACTCTCCCAGTCTTTGCTCTGGAGTCCCAGATTGCTCTTTGCATTTCTACACAGATGGGCAGGAAGGAATTGGAGAGCTGCTTCAGGATGCCTTCCTCAGGTGAGGTGCCTTCCTCAGATGCCAAACTTAACCCCCAGTACACCAGAAGTGGTTTAATTTTATTTTCACAATACAAGTGGAAGCATTTTGCTCTTTTCTTAGTGGTAAGTTATATTTTCCTTGCTCCTTATACTTGCAAGAGATTCCCTTCTCTCTCCAACATTCCTGAATGCCTTTGTTTCAAACATGCATAAAATACTTTCTTTGAAGTAAGTCTCTTACTTAGCCAAACCAAACGGGTGTGTTACAGAAACAGTGTTAAGGCTGAGTTTCAAAACCACCAAGAATGGACAGTATAATTAATTAACTTTCATTCTCAAGCCAGGATGCCTGGAGGGCTAGCTAACCTAAATCATAGCTGCTTCACATTGGTTTTGAAGAGCATAGAAGCCCAATTGCAGTTTTCTCTACTTTCCTTCCTTTGTCTTCTTGATAAGTGTAGGCTGGGGTGGTGGCACCATGAAGGACACCAGGGACATTTAAAGGTGAGGATGAGCTTCAGTGTTGGTAAGAGATTGGCTTGGTAGGTTGTGGAAGCTTATGGACTCTAGAACAACAGCTAGGGTGCCTGTGTGGGACCAACCTAGGCCCTCTTGCATAGCTTGGTCTGTTTATGGAGCTCTAGAAGTGGAACCATGATATGTCCCTGGTACATGAGATTTTTTTGGAACCTATTCCCTGTGGTGGATGCCTGCTTCAGCCTCAGTGCAGGGAGGAGGGGCTTGGTCCTGCCTCAACTTGTTATGACATGCTTTGCTGACTCCCATGGGAGGCCTTGCCCTTTCTTAGGAGTGGATGGGGTGGGAAGTAGAAAGGAAGTGGGCAGGGGAGGGGCAAGAGGAGAGGAGGAAGGGAAAACTTGGTTGGTATGTAAAATAAATAACAAATTTTAATAAAAAAAAGAGATTGAGTCGATAAAGTTGGTTTGTGGGAAATGAAGTTTGGGTGCAGTAGAGAAGTTGGCAGCCTGTGCAGTTCCCACTTTGCCTTCCAGAAAACTGTGTGCCTGAGAAAGGTCTTTCATTCCCTCTTTAAGGGACCCCTTGTGAGTCTCCATTGGATGATGTTTAGGGAAGGAGATAGTGTATTTATGAACAACAGGAGGGGCACCTGAGATGGTTACATGCACACTTTCTGGCTCACCTCTAAGTCTTTACCTGTAAAATGGGATATAATAATGGCACGCACAACCCAGGGCTGTCACAACAACTTCACTGATCTGTGGAGACTCTCACTGCTCTGGCTGACAGAGAGAACAGTGACCTTTATTCACTTCAATGGCAAAGCAATCATTTCTTCAAAATTTAGCCAATGCCTACATACTCTTCTAGATAAAGTTAACTTATAGGATCACAAAGAAAAGGGCTGTGTGCTAAACAAGTAATTGAGTAGAATTTTCCTAGGTGGAGAAATAACAAGGGGATAGCAATGGAAAAAAATGTTTGGATGAAAGAAACACCCATAAAAACTGTGGTAAGTAGACTGATGTACAAGGCGGGAGGTGACGGTCAGAGTGATGGCAGTTGAGGCAGAACATTTGCAAGTGTTTAGTGCTGAACTTGGGCATTTCATTTATACAGCGAGAGGCAAGCTCTGCTGCATGCAAGTCATTGCTCTGTCCTGTTTACTGTCACCTCACTTACTACTCATTCACTCTAGTTATCCCATCGTTAGCTAGAGAAGATGAGGTTCAGGACCCGTGACGCTGCTGATGACTGGCACAGATGAGGATTAACTCAGACAGTTTGATTCTAGAGACTTGGCTTTTGCCATCTTGTTGGACTGCTTTGAAGTGTGGATCTAATCCTGCAGGAAACAGAAATCTCCCTATTGATCCTAGGATGATCTAGGTTGTGGCCTTTTTGCCACTTAGAAAGATGGTTTTAGTGACATCATTTGATGTGTTGGAGGGGAAAGGCTGAGAGTGGAACAATTAATCAAGGTGGGGGGAGTTCCCATGATGGGTGATACGTTTTCAGTGTGAGTTTGGAGGCATGTTGGGAGGGTGGAAGGGCAGAGGCAAGAAAGGTGAAGTTCACTTTGGTTTTCAACTTGGGTGTTCAAATGCGTGGTTGAGCCATTAATGCTCCAGAATCAGCCATGTGGAAAGGAGTGGGGATTAAGTCAGCAAGAAGCAAGTTCTCCTAAATCCAGGAAATATAAAATGCATCATTAGATAAGAATAATTATATGGCTTTTCAGCTTGAACCCCCAAACACCCACAGGATTGGTAGGAATGAATGACGGGATGGGGGGGGTTCTGTATTTAACACTCAAATGGAAAAACAAAACAGTCAGAAGGAATAGAGACCTGGATTGCAAATGTCTGAAATGTCCTCTTAAGATACAAAGGAACTCATTTGAAATATGGCAATGGAAAGAGGGTGAGCAAGGCTGGCATGCCTGGGGCAGAGCGTGAGAGGGTTCTTCAGATAGTCTCAGACCCCACAGGCTGGGACGTTCTTGCAGGTTTGAAGCATGGCTCTCATTGCCTCCGTAATACTATACCCAGAACCAAGAAGGGAGAGAATCTAGAGAACAAATGAAACAAACACAACTAGATCTGCTTTTGTTTCTTTTCACAAACTACCTTCCACTCATCCCTAAATCCTTTCCTACGTGAGCCTTCTTTCCCGATGCACCATTACACTCCTCTCCAAGTGAAATTAGTCCCCAGAGCCTAATCACAGGTCTTTGGATTCAGGGGACAGAGAAGAAACTTCCCAGCAATGGCACAGAACCAGGGCTATGAGCAAATTGTCCCAAGTGAAAAGAAAGAAAGTCTGTCAATTTAGAAGGAGTAGCCACCGAAGCCCTGCAAGGTCAGCATGTTCACAAAAGCTGCCATAGGCACTCTGTTTGAGGCCAGCCTGGTCTACAGAGTGAGTTCCAGGACAGCCAGAGAAATTCTGTCTTGAGAAACAACAAAACAAAACAAAAAGTCTTGAAGCATTGCAGGCTGCTTGGACTACAGTTTGGAACACAGTTATGTTGTTGGGAAGAAGTGGATTTACTGTGTTTGAATACAAAATGAATCCACACAGAATGGCAATTCTGTATGGCTAAGACCATTAGAACTTCATTTTACTTCTTTCATCTCCTCTGAGTCTATGGGATGCCATTAATGTTACCAGCTGCATGGCTTTCTCTGAATACCAACAGCAGAGGGGAAAAACATCCACCCTCCACAGCTATTGGCTCTCTAGCTTTCCACTTAGCTAGCTATTGTGTTGCCAAGGTAAATGGGAAACAGGCTCCCACAATAACAGCAATTTCCCAAATGCCCTGTTAATTTTCAGTAAACCAAAATAAAATGTGTTATTATTTATTAAGAATATGCACTACATACGGTTTCCAGATGATAAGTATTTCAGTAAAGTACCACACGGAGAACCATTTGAGCTGGCTTGCAAGCTGTAACCTTAAAGTAATGGGTATAGCCCAGGGTCAAAATTGTCACTTTTATTGGGTTAATTCAATGTTCATGGTTTACAGACTATGATATAGGACTAGTGAAAAGTTTTTTCCATCCCCAGCATCAGCTGCATTATACATATAATTTTACGTAAAAGAGCAGCATCCCATATATCATTATTTATTCATAATGACATTTACCAAACAACTGCATGGCACAGGATGATAGTGCTGTCTGGGGTATAGACTAGGGGGCACAGATTCTAAAAACTGGATTGGAGACAATACCTTCAATTATATTAACGTTAGAAGCACAAAGGGGAAATATAATCTCTCAGTTGCAAGACAGCATGTTATTATTTTACAAATAAAGTATAAAAATTTGAAGGCGTCAGGTTTGGAGACCATTTTTTTTTCAGAATAGTTCATAATATGATAGGAACATATTTATTTGTTTGGCCCCTGCATCTCACTTTGGATCACAAAAGGCACTAATAGAACTTCTGGTTCTTAGGACCTTCTGTCTCTCAGACAGAATGGCCTCTGCCAGGGACTCAGGTTCACTTGTTCTGCTCTGGGCCTGGCCCATACCAGACCTCTTTTGAGCATTATCTGCTTTGGCTTTGTTTTCTCTTCTGTGCTTAGGTTTTCACAGCTGGGGCTCTGATGTCCTAACCTAATGCCATCAGGATGAGGGAGGCCTCACCCCCAGTTCCTGCTCTCTGTTGGTTGCCTTGCTATTGAGATGTTTGCCCACACCAAGGTCTGGCACCCTGCAAACAGCTCTGGGCTGTGTCACCACCTCCAACCCTGAGGTGAAACCCTGTTGTCCTCACAGCTTTGGGTCACAGGATTAGAATTCCTGTTGGGTTTGACTATTTTCTTTAAAGAAGAGGAAGTTGTCTTGCTTTTAGAAAAATTACACAGACAACAATGTGGACTTATTTAGGAAATCAGAAATCCCACATTCCCTCCCCCAAATTACACAAATACCCACTGCATAGTGATAGCCACCACTAACATGTTGATGTTTACTCTTCAAGAAAAACTTCTCTGGAAACACACACACACACACACACACACACACACACACACACCCCATGTTTTTACTGAATAAGGATAAAATAATTTTACAAAATAAGGTTAAAATTAAATTATATCATATCACACAAATAGCTAATTCTGCAAGCTGAACATCTATTTTTCTTACATGGTATCCTGTAAAACATACTCTAATATTATTTTAATGGTTGGTTGGGATTCTGGTTTACTTTAAACAATTTTTCAAAATTCAAAATTCAATGCATCTTCAGCTTTCTTCACCCCATCTTATTGTTCTAGACTCCTCCATCTGAAGACTGCTTTCATATCTGTGACTCAGAAGGGAATTGTGGCTCTTATAATGCAATGAGTAAGTAGGACAATCCTTGGCGTTGGTTTTCAGTTTTGTCCCTATGTTTGTGGTGCTAGGTATTGGCAAACACTAAAGCAAACACTCTACCCCGGAGCTACCTCCCCAGTCATGACATACTGGGGACAGGATATAACTCTGTAGACTCTGCAGGTCTGGCCTGTCTCAGACTTACAATCTTTTCACTTCAGCTTCTTGAATGCTGGGATGGTAGCTGTGTGCCACCAGGCCCAGGGTTGCCAGGTTTTAACAGCAGAAAATGTCATTCAGAGATTTGGGAGTGAGGTTTCTGGTTCTTAAGAATGCCCGCAGGGACTCTGCTTCATGTTCTATAGATGGTGTTCTAAGTGACAGAGCCCTAAAGGTGCCTCCTGGCTATTGCCCTGACAGCCCTCTGTGGGGAGTCTATAGACTGGACACAGCTCATAGCTGGCAGCTCATTGCTGGTGAGAGTACCCGGGCTTCTTGGAATGATTATATCACCTTCCTGGCGCTTGTTCAATGGTCAGGTGCAGCTGTGCTTTTGTGCTGTCCTCTACCCCACTGAACTGAGGGCTTCCCGAGGATATCAACCATGTCTTTGCTATGTATGACCCCAAGAGCTGTGCGTATTATGCTGTATGAAAGGAGGAAAGCAAGCAAAAGAGGAAAAGGAAAAAAAGAAAGAGGAAACGAAGGGAGGAAGGGAGGAAGGGTTGGAGGGAGGGAGGGTGAAGAAGAAAGCCGGAAGGAGGAAGGAGAATCTCTGGCAGAAGACCCAATTTCCCCTAAGCCGTTAATACCTTAAATTCTGTTTGATGAGTGCTACATTCATTACATCACGGCGGTTCCCCGACCCCCGTGCCCTTAAACAATAATGCATTTTTACAATTTATTTTGCAGCTATGAGATCAGAGTGATTAAGGTAGAGTCTGTAAGGGCATGGAGGCTGCGATGAAGGCTACCCAAGGAATGAAGCCAGCATAGTCTGCGGGGCAAATGGTGGAGATGGGACAGGGCAGTTTCATCCAGCTCAAGAAGAGACAGAGGTGGGAACAGCTTGTGTTGTGGGTTAATGGTGTCACACAGTGATCAGTTTAACTTGTGTGCTGGTAGGTGTCAGGATGATGGAAAGGTATTTAGTGTGAAGCATGGATTCTCTTTACATCACCAGTCATAGAAAGTGTGTGTTCAGAGCCAGGGATGGATGCACATTCCTCTAGGAGGGGTATAGGTGGACTATAAGGTTACTAATCAATTGCTTATCATGGAAACACAGCATAGTATGTAATGGCTACCTATGGAACAGGGTATCAGGAGTAGGTAATGGAAAATAATGGAAAAGGGCACTTACATGAGACTTATTACATATTTAGAACATGTGGACTTCTGCAACTATGTAAATATGGTTGGAAGAATAAGCAGCAGCGTTGGTGTAGGTTCCTGTTCTGTGGAATACATAGCACACTGACAGAAGAAAGTGGGTAAGTGTGGTTCTGGAGAGATGCTCCTGAGGGAGGGGCCAGTGTGAGAGGGTGAATTTGGGGCATAGTTAATTTGAGATGTCAGAATAATTGCAGACAGATATAGAAGAGGATGTGGGAAAGAGCAGAACCAGATTGAGGAAGTGTCTAACAGACAGACATCTAAAAGTGCCATATAGACATGCAGGCAGGAGGTGAATGCCAACAGAGGAACAGCAGGAGGCTTGTTAGAGAGGCAATGGAAGCTGGCTAAGCGATAAGAAAAAATAAATGCAGAGGGGAGTGAATGGGACCTTATTCCTGACTATTGGAAGACCTTAGAGGAATAATGTCATGATATTAATAAGTGACTTTCTCATTACAAAAGAACTCTCCGTGTGTGTTCATATGCACATAAGTGCACATGTGTGTCGTCTGTAGAGGCTAGCGCTTACCCTGAGTGTTGTTCCTTGGGAGTTCTCCATCTCACTTTTTGAAAGAAGGTCTCTTACCAATCCAGATCTCCCTGACTCAGCTAAAATGGCTGGCTGGGGAGCCCCAGGCATCCATCTGTTTTCACCTCTCCACTACTAGGATTACAGCCATGTATCATCACCCCTTGCTTTTATTTTTAGCATGGATTCTGGGAATGTAGTTCTTATTTTCAAGATTTACTCATTTTTATTTTAAGTGTACATGTGTTTGCCTACAAGCATGTACGGGTACCATGTACATGGCTGGTACTATGTACATGACTGGTACCCATAAGGTCAGAAGAGGACACTAGATTCTTTGGGATTGGAGTTACAGGCAGTTGCAAGTTGCCACATGGGTGCTGGGAACTGAACTTGAGTCTTCTAGAAGAGCAATGAATTCCCTTAGCCACTGAGCCATCTCTCCATTGCCCAAAATCAGGTTTTCACAGCAAACACTTCACAAACAAAGCTGTATCCCCAGTCCAATGTTTATTTTTTCATAGCAATATGTTAGTAGACTCTGAATTCTGAGTAATTAAGGATTAATGTTTCAAAGATGGAATTTTAGGTGGATGACAAGCTACAAAGCACTGTTTGGAGTTTGATAATCTATAATGACAATAATAGCATCAAGCTTCTGCTAAAGAAATTAATTATTTATTTTTGACAAAAACTATTCTTTAAAGCCCATTTATAATAGAGTCCTAGAAATTCAATAGCATGACCAAAGTCACATAGCTCAGTGTGCACTTGCCACATAATCTAAACCTCCTGGTCACTACCTGTGCCCTTCACTCCCATGCTGTGCCTTTTCTGATCCAGATAACACAGTTTTGCTTTTTTTTTTTTCTGGCTTTATCCAGAGGAGGCATTGCTCAGGCATCATCTGCTAAAGGACAGATATTGTCTTATTTACCAGCAGCCACTGATTTGTGAAAGGTATGTGTGAGAGACATTGGTTGCACTGTTCTTCTTGCACTGTTCTGTAACATGAGTTTTCTGGTTCGGCAGGTCCTGTTGCCCTTCTCTGCTCCGAAGAAACATGTAGATGCTATATTTGTTATAAAGCTGTTGTCAGGGATGGAGAGATGGCTCAGGGGTTAAGAGCACTGACTGTTCTTCCAGAGGTTCTGAGTTAAATTCCCAGCAACCACATGGTGGCTCACAACCATCTGTAATGTGATCTGGTGCCCTCTTCTGGCACGCACTGTATACATGATAAATAAATAAATAAATCTTAAAAAAATAAAGCTATTGCCATTGGCTTGGTTTCTTATTGGCTAGCTCTGTCTTAACTATTTACCCAATTCTATTATTCCATGTATTTCTGCATGGCCTTATCTTACCAGAGAAAAAGTCTGGGCCTCTTACTCTGTTGGGGTCTTCATCGCATCCCTTCAGCATCTCTGCAGAGAAGAGAAAGGCACAATTTCCTGTTTGTCCCTGCTTATACTCTGATTCTGCCCAGCTACGTCACTTCCTGCCTGTCTGTACAGACGTCCAGACCTCTATGGTTAGCTAGTGGCAGTTTCTGCCCAGCTATGTCACTTCCTGGGATCACATGATGACTCCTCTCTGCCTACACTTCCCAGAATCCTCCTTGTCTCCTAGTCCCACCTATCATAGCGCCCTATTGGCCAACAGTGTTCTATTCTTCAACCAATAATACAAACATAAACACAGAAGAACATTGCCCATCACTGTTCTTCTCACCCCTAAAGCTGCATGCTTTGTAGAGCATGGTAAACAGGTAGATAAGTTCCCAATTGCTTAGCTGCTGCCACAGTGTCCTGGGAGAACATCACTGTGGGAGGTAAGCAAGCAATACATCCTGTAGTATGTTCCTGAGAGTCCAGCTTTATGCTTGCATTTTGGCCTTTGTTTCCTTATCTGCTATTCCCCATGAGGAAGGGAGGAAGCAAAGGAAGGAAATCTATCTACTGTGCGACTCTAACCTTAGGGTTAGTTTCACAAAAGTACTGTGTATGAATGTGTTCACTCTGTCTTAAAGAGCTGTGGAAAGACAGGTAGAGGATAAGCATGGTCCATCTAACACACACACACACACTCTCACTCTCTCTCTCTCTCTCTCACTCTCTCACACACACACACACACTCACTCTCTCTCTCACACTCACTCTCTCTCTCTCAACACACACACACACACACACACACTCTCTCTCTCTCACACTCACTCTTTCTCTCTCTCTCTCTCACTCTCTCACACACACACACTCTGTCTCTCAACACACACACTCACTCTCTCTCACACTCACTCTTTCTCTCTCTCTCTCTCTCTCTCTCTCTCTCTCTCTCTCACACACACACACACACACACACACACACACACACACACACACTTACCTCAAAGTATGACTCCAACAGCATCAATGAACACATGGAGCTTCCAAACCCTTGCACAATTAGAAGCGAATTCCTTCTTCCTTCCTCTACCTTAACAAAACAAAAATCTGATATTTGAGTGGCATCAGGTGCAGACACCTCCTACAGATAACTGGCAGGTTACCTGATTGAAAATGAAAAGGACAGAAAACTTCCCACAGGTGCTGCAGGAGGTAAGGATGTTCATATTTCCCTCACCACACCCCCCTCTCCTGGCACACTGAGCATACCCTCATCTATCTGCTCCCAGAAGTCTCATCCCAGAGGTGCCACTTATTTCTGCCAAGTGGCTCCTCTCTTCTTCAGCATGTACCTTCAAATTAAACAGTGACCTCTCACTTATCATCAGGTCTAATACCAGGCAGGCTGTGATCCGGCCCCAAAGCTTGTCTCCTGATTCATGTCACTGACAACCAGGGCTCTTCAATAGAGGGAAGAAGCCCTTTGCTCTTCTGTACTTGTCATCAAAGCCAAAGAAGCTCACTTTCCTCAGGGCAACATCTGGCCAGGATTTATGTGGTAGGCATGGAAATGCTATTCTCTACATATTATGATTTCTTTGCTTTGGCAATGCTGAAAATGGCACCCCGCCACCACCAGAAACTAACCATGTCATTTTTCTCATGTCAACAAGCTTCTTGCCAATAATGATTTCCTGTAATTCCTTCCCTGTTTCAGAGGGAATTGCTATTCTACTGGCATTGCGCTTAAGGAAGAAAAGTCCCATCGTCTGGGTGCCGTTCAGGAATCATCGCCACACTGATCCTTACTGCACCCGATTTATTGTTTCCAAAGCTCCTTCCATAATCACTGACAAAATGACCCCAGTTCTCAAACCCCTTCTGAGATGCTCTGGCTTTTCATTTGTACAAATCCCACACCATGAATGTTTTGGAATCTTCTCTGCCAAGCAGAAGTCTGTTACTTTCTAATTCAGCCCTTGTTAAATGTTATTGGTACAAGGAGAACATGACCACATGCTTTGAGGAAACATCACACAAATGGCTTCCAGTTCTGTTCCTAGTAGGACCTTTATTCTCCAAAATCTCAGCAACAGCATCTTTGCTCTCAACACTCTATCGACATTTTAGTCTTTTCACCATCTAACAAAATGACCATGAGGAAGAATTTATAGTATTCTAGAGCTTCTATAGGCTGTAGCTCTAAAACCTTTCACTTTCTTCCCACAGAACACTTTAGAATATGTACAGCCACATGAACAAGTTTCTCATTGCAACAGCAATGACTCTATTTCTGGTACAAAATCTGTACTGGTAGAATTTTTTTCAAGGGGAAGAGAACCATAGAAAATGTAGAGTCTTCTCTTAGAATATGTAAAAATTTATGTACATGCACATAATACATTACATATAAGTGTATATTTATATACACATATTTATATAAAACAAAATGAGAATTATTTGGTTGGCTTGTATAACAGTGGCTGAGTAGTAGTCCAATAATAACTATTTCCATGTTGGAGAGATAAAGAATTCAGTTGTTCAGTCTAAGAATCTGGACACTTCAGCAAGTCCAAATCTGGTGCTGGAAGCTTAAAAGTTCCATGGACAGTTGCTCTGATTCAGTCCACGCTGGAAGATCAATGAAGGAGGTATCTAATGTCAATCAAGGGTGTAGTAGTACTAGAAACATCATGTTCCCTTGCTCAGAAAGAAGCAAAGGCAGCGAGGCAGTTATTCTGGATTGTCTCTGTCTCTGTCTGTCTCTCTCTCTCTCTCTGTCTCTCTCTCACACATACACACACACACACACACACACACACACACACAGTCACGTTTTATTGGAATTCTTGGCACCTGAGCTGTCTGTCCCAATAGGTGCAAAACACATTGAGGGATGCCTTGATTCCTGCTAATTCTGTCCAGGAATTCCCTGAAAGACACACTTGAAGGACTTAAAGGTGTGTCTCCTAAGTAACTCTAAATCTAGCCAAGTTGTCAATCAGAACCAACAGTCACAGCTACCAACTCCCATCTTAGATACTAGATACTTAGATACTTGTTTCCTGCATCTTACATCCTACCAAGCACATATCTGCATCCTATTCTTTAAGGTTCCCAGTGTGTAAAATACGTTAAATGAATGATGAATATCCATATTCCACTACTTCTAGTTATAGAAGAAATACAGAATAAAGTTAAGAAAACTGCCTCTAGAGCCCCAGGTCAGTACTTGTTGTCCTGAGAGTCTCGAATGAATTGTGTGTTTCTGTGTTTCAGTGTACTCAGCTGTAGCCCCAGTAAGCATAGTACTCACAACACTGGAATATTGTGATTAATACTTAACTTGACAAATTTAGAGACTTAAAATAGTGTTGATCACCCATCAAAACAATGTTAGAAACTTTTAGGTATCTTTCCTGTGAAACTTTAAATTTTTTATAATAACAACGAACGTAATAATATTTTCTATTTTTATTCGCACAGGTTTCCATGTGCCTATGGGTAATTTATCTCCAATTTCACTCAATAAACATCTTTTCAATCACATCTGGAGATACTTGAGAGTATGCCAATGGCATGCTTTTGAGCTGTCTCCCAGCCTTCATAGATGTCATGGAGTTATTGTTTCTCTTCCTTGATCAATAGTTCTGTCAAGTCTTTTAACCTCTTTCTTGCATTCAATCCCATTGCCAATATCTGCTGCCCCTCTTTCTTAGAATTTCTCCTCCTTATCCTTCCATAGCTCAGCTGGTAGACAGAGGACTGTAGGATTTCTCCCCCTTTTATCAGAATATAATATTTTGAAAAGAGGTCAAGGTAATGTTTTTTCTTCCAGTTTAAGTCTGAAACAGTCTCTTTTTCTGTTGCTACACTTGGTGCTAGTTAGTTCTAGTTTGAAACTATATTCTCTCTGGAGTTTGAAATTGCTACTTCACTGTCTTCTGTGCTACTGTTGAGAAGTTCAAAGCCATTGTAACATTGATGTTCTGTATGTATCCTGATCTTTTCACAGAAACTTTCAGTATTCTAGCCTAACTCCCAGAATTCAGAATTTCACCATGATGTGCCTCTGTCATCTGTAAGTGAAAGGAACTTGGACCTTCAGTTTTATTCTGTTGAAGTACAATTGATTCTCCTGTCTCCATTATTTTTGCTGTTTCTCTTCTTCTTCTTCTTCTTCTTCTTCTTCTTCTTCTTCTTCTTCTTCTTCTTCTTCTTCTTCTTCTTCTTCTTCTTCTTCTTCTTCTGGCATTCATGTCATTGGCATTACAATGGCCCCTGTTAGTTTGAGGCCTTTCCTCCCTCTTGTCTTCTTGACTGATTCTTTTAAGTGATCAGTACATTCACTGGGCATTAGCTATGGTTTTGTTTGTTTGTTTGTTTTTACTTATAAAGTGGTTTTGTGTGCCTCAGGATATCTTTTTCTTCCTAGTAATGCGTGTAATTTTTATTTGATTGTGAAAAATATCTTTCATTTTTTGAAGGATTTCAATAATGGCCACCTAAAAAGGTTTCCTATTTCTGTACTACTCTCTCTGTATCTTTGTGATTTTCGTTTTGGTTTAGTATGTGTCTTTTTCTCTAGAGGCTTTCCTCAATGATATTATCTGGATTTGTAGCCTAAACATCTCTCATTTATATCATTCTAATGGGAATTCTAGAAGGTATGGAGATCTATGTTGCTTGGTGTTAGTCAAGCAATGCAGACCTTAAATAAATACAGGCATATAACTAGACCTTGCAGATTGAAGGAAAAGCTGTAAGGAAAAACAAGATAGC